CAACTTTTGGAAGGTCTTCAGATTTTCCTGCAGTTTTTATTACCTGGTGGCTTCTACTGCCCGCTTCGTGCACATTATTAAAATCCAGGTTTTAGCAGAACGTGAGGAGAAAATTCAAACTGAGGTTAAAGAAATACGCAAGGTTTTCTATTGTGATCTCTGCAACAAACAGTACAAGTTGGCTATGGAATTTGAAGCGCATCTCAGCTCATATGATCATAATCATAGAAAGGTAGGAAATTAAGCGTTTATTCATAAGTACTCCCTGTCTAGCAAAATCCTCTTTTCCTTTATTTCCTCTTCGAAGTTGCATCGAATCTAAAGCATTGTTGGATGAGATTGCAGCGGTTTAAAGAAATGAGAGAAATGCATGGTTCAAGCAGCCGAGATGACAGAAACAAGCGGGAACAGCAACGTGAAGAGAGAGAGATGGCAAAATTTGCTCAAATGTATCTCCCTTTCCTCACTTTTTTTCTTTCAATAACTTCTTTTGTGATCCCATTTTAAGTTTCTCTTTATATTTTCATTGTGTGATTCTGTTTACATTTTCTTTCATGTTAAAAATAGTGCGGATGCCCGTAAGAAGGAGCAGCAAATGCTGGAGCAACAAGAAAGATCAGCCAAGGCGCCTGCTTCTACTGAAATTAGAAATGCTACATCACTTGCAGATCAGGATCAGCGGAAAACATTAAAATTTGGATTCTCTTCTAAAGGTGGCACCTCGAAGGTAAAGCTAAAGCGTTAATGATGTTTTGTTTTGTTTTAAAAATTAGTTTGCAATTGATTCTGAATATTTTGTTCTTTGTTTTTTTGAGTCCATTCATTCTGAAATTTGTTGATGCTTGATTGCTCATTCCAAAGGTAATGAGTGATAATATCTGGTTCGTCTTTTGGAGTGTTTAGGAATCAATTAAGTAACCAGTTACCAGAAGGACCGGTTCCTATGGGAGCAAAGCACAGCAGTATTGGCATTATTGCTTGCTCGTTCATGTTCGTTCCATGTTAACATGGAACGTATCAACCATTGCTTGGTCGTTCGAGTTTCTTGTTACCACAGAATAATAATATAGGGGAATTAATGGAAAGGTATCTCGTCCCTAATTTCTTGGTGACTGATGTTATTGCAGAAGATTTTTGGTGGAGCCACAAAGAAACCTAAAGTAGTAGCCCCTGTAGCTTCAGTTTTCGGGAATGATAGTGATGAGGAATAGCAGCAAAAGAGTTCCCAAGTTGCTTTGCATCTTTTGTATGTGTAAGGAACATCTTAAAGTTCATGTATTCTTATTATATATGGCAGTAGAGACATTATTGTTTAAACTTGTTTGCTCGCTCCTAGAATGTTAATTTTGATACATCATATCGTGTGATTTAGTCTGCTGATGAACAGATGTCCATACAACTCTCTATGCTATTGATGTGTTCTGTTATTATAACATCTTACTTACTGAAATGATGCTATGTTTTTTATTTTGCTTAATTAGATCTGAAAGGGGTTTGGATATTTTATTTATTAAAAATAGATGTTTTATGAGCTAATTTAGGAATGGTGCAAGGAGTTATATCTCCATGAGAACTTAGGTTCAAAGTGGATTATTGTGGAGATTAATGATAAGAGATCACTAATTTCAAAATCTAACACAATCCCAACTCAATTAAATTATTTATATATTGATATAATAAGTTAGCAACTAAATTAAACTATATTTATTTTGTTGGCTGGAAATTAAGAGAGAAAAAAAAACATTGGAAATATGATACGAGAGATAATATTAATATTAAACAATATTTTAGAAGAAATATGATATTAATTTTCGATTATAACTCTTCCATAAAAAAGAAAAAAGAAAAAAAAAAAACCCATTAAATTTTAATATTTTATATCTATTTTTAGAATGTTCAAAAGAGGTTATTTGATGCCTTTTGATCGTTTTCTTCTATAGTGAGTGCACATTTGCAAACCCTAATTTGATCTCTGCAACTCACTCAACTTTTGAAACCAAAACAGAGTCAAGATTACCCTTCGAAACCCTCAACTCCTTCATTCCTTTGTTTGATTCCGCCATTGCTGTCTTGTTTGATTTCTATCCCTCTTAGGGTTTCCTTTTGTTCTTTGTATTCGCGTCTCTCTCGATGAATCACCCTCATCTTCCTCCTCCTCCTCCTCCAACCAAAGTGCAGACGGAGTGTGGGAATTGCGGCTCTCACGGTCGGTGGATTCTTCATCATGTTCGTTTACGAGGTATTAATCGTCGTCTTTGCACCTCCTGCGTGCTTCGCCTTCATCCCACTTCCTTTTGCCCTTCTTGCTTTCAGTTCTATGACCCTTCTGTGTCTCCTCCTCATCCCTCCAATCGTTTAACCTGCCTCAAGTGTTCTTCCATTACGCATTCCCACTGCGTTCTCAACCCCGCTTCTTCCGATCCTCACCTTCTCTCTTCCTCCACCTCCTATCTCTGCCCTCCCTGCGCTAAACCCCATTTCTCCTTCTTCGATTTGGACTCTCTGCCCCGGAATTCTCACAAGTCTATTGACAGGAAGACGGCCGTCGTGTTGCTCTGTGCGGCTAAGATCGCTTCTGCTTCGATGGGGAAGGCTGTGATTGTTGCGCGTGCCGATGCGGAGAGGAAAGTGCGGGAGGTGGCTGTGGCCAGGAAGAGGGCCAGAGAGGCTCTTGAGCATGTTGGTTTTCTTTTGGCTAGAGAGAGAGCTAGGCGTAAGGAGGAGGCGTCCATGGAGGTTTCGGGTTCCGGGAATATGGAGATGAAGGACAAAGAGAGGAATAGGAATTTGGGTTCCATGGTGAAAACTGAGAATTCCCTTGAGGCCCCTGCAGTGCCAACTTTGAACACTGCTACCGCATTAACTCAGAGGAGGGAGAGCTTGAATGGGTTCGTGAGACAGATGTCTATGGTGAAGAACGAGGCAGCTGCTTCCGTGCAGGAAACTGCTGAGGCTGACCGTTTACAGATTAACAACAACATTGCTTCAAGTGAGAAGGAGAAGTCTGGAAACTTTGCTGATAATGAGGATGCTGAGAATGTGCAAAATGATCACAAAATAGCCCTTTGAAGTTGTTCATTGGTTATTAATTCTGAAGATGCCGAGGCATGGTTGTAGGAGGACTGACCGCATCATTGTGATATGGATTTGAAGTAAGCAAATTTATTAAGTTATTTTCGTATTGGGTTCGACCTGGCTGTTTAGGAATTCATGTAGCGAGGTTAGCACAATGCCTGTGAATATTTCCAGAGATTTGGGCCGTCTAGAGATGATTATACAAATGCTCTTTAAGTAGTAAGGGGTCCCTCCTTTGTTGCATGCTGTAACAAATGTTGATTAATTGAAGCTTTAACATTTCTCTGTGTGCCTGCCACACTCTGCTACCTTGCACCTTACTGCTGAATTCAAATGCATTCTTTTCTTTCAATTACCTGAAACCCCCTATCAACCATGATCATCTTACACTCTTGACTTGATTGAGATAGCGTCTTGTTTTGTCTCAAGATTGGTGACGGTCAAAGAGAAAATGCCTGAAGGATTGGGTTAAATGAATTGAATGTTGTTTTCATTGGCCGCATTTCTTCTGGAATTCTGATATTGTAGCTGTAATAGTATGATTCTTTTCTTCCTTTCTAGCTGCCCATTTCTTTGCATTATGGGGAGTCTACTTTGTTTGCATTATTTTCTTGATATTTGGGTATGTTGTCTGGGAGAAGTGTTGATAAATATTTCAGGTACTAAATAGACGAAGAAGCAGTTGTTTTGATGTCGAGTATGAAAGGACAAGGAGGCGATATCGAGTATGAAAGGACAAGGAGACGCCAAGTGAGTCTCACATTGGTTAATTTAGTGGAAGATCATAGTTGGTATGAGGCCGTTTGGGAAAGCAAAAAGCAAAGCCATGAGAGTTTATGTTCAAAGTGGACAATATTATATCATTGTGGAGATCCGTGAATGCTTGGATTTGTGAGTTAAATTTGTGAGAAACATGGGGTGCTGGTGCCTGCTGCCGCCATCAGTGGGGATTGAAATTGAGGTAAGTATTAGTTTCACTGTACAAATGTCACTTTCCAATCATTGAGCTCACATGGAAGGAAGGAAGCAAGCAAGCAACGTCTCTCTCCACTTCATTCCTAACACCATACGCTAATTACACATTACCTTTTTTTCATTTAATCTTGAGTTAAATGGTTTGCCCCTAAATCCGGCCGTGACTAAGCCTTGAGGGACAACTCTAATCCATGGTATTTAGAAAATACTTGTAAATAACCATGGGTTGATATGTATGGGATGTTGATGTGGTGGACCTATGTCACCATACCAGCGTTTAACGCACCAATCACCGTAATGCTAATGGAACAAGCATTATTAGAACTTAGGTCTCATTGATCCCAATTGGTTCATTCTAGATATCTAGCTCCTTGTTGGAAGAACGTGATTGGACAACAAAACTACAAATGGTGATAGTGTTCACCAACTAGATAGCAGAGACAAAGTCTCTTGATTAAGCATCCAATCAAGTTCAATTGTGGAATGATTCAATTTATACTAAGCTTCTAAATCTTATTTTATTTTTCATCAATTTATAATAAGGTTTTAAATCTTATTTTATCTTTGATCATACGAGGTAATCTAATTTTAGTATTATCTCATTCTTGATCCAAATCTTATGTAAAGATGTGTTAACTTCTTTGATTCAAGGATTCTAATTGTAATAAAACTTAGAACATTTAATTAAAAATTAAAATTAACTTATGCTTAACTCAACACACGGACAATTCTTTTCCTTCTAATTCTATATCTTGCAGACACCATGCAATTATCAACTTATACGAAAACAAACAATAAATTAATCAAGTACAAAACACTCACACTTAAACATAGTAATAGAAACATTTCCAGTCCACAGCTATGTCTGTTTTTTCTAACCAAAGTTCTAGTTCTAATTCTAAAGCACTGACCACGTTGAAGTAAATAACCAGCGATACAAATTCCAACAATACTCCCAAAATCTAACATATAGATATATTTATAAAAATATTATATTACAGTCTCAAAGTTCCAATAGCTAATACATCCGTCTCTATCACTAACATATATTTGATCTTTACACAAGCAGGGCAGTGGCAGTGCATTCTCTAAACCTTCTTGTCTATCTCTCAAACTCACCTCTGGTCCCTTTTCTCCTCCAAAATTTGCACTCATGGTGGAACTGGGTGGCGATTCTGAAGCTGTGAATTACGAGTGCCTTTCATGTACAGTACAAGGAGAAGAACTCAGTGATTTCATAACTCCAGAATGATTCTGCGAGTGATTAAGGACATCGTCATAATGATGCACCAAGTAAACGGTCTCAATCCAGCTGCCATGGATATTGAGGTGCTTGAGCTTGGAGGGATCTCAGTTCCAAACCCTGTTGAGCTGCCAATACTTGAACTTGGATTGTCTGGGTTAAAGATTGCAGGAGGAGTTCCATTTCTGCACCAAGAAGATGGTTTTATTAATTTAAAGGTATAAGTTTCATGCAAATTGTGCCTATTTTATTATTCCCCACCCTTCAAATAAGTTTTTAGTAAACTACAAGTCTCTACCTTTCCTAGTGTTTTCTTAGATCAATAATAAAAAATGGGGACTTAAATCGTAACACTCAAACCTCAACCGAATATTTTAGTTTAGATAAATCAGATGGACAGACGGGCACAATTTTAAGAGTTCAAGATATATTATAAATTATCCAAACTCGTAGTTTAACCCAAATTCAACCCCAAGAATTAGAAAGTTCCGAACTTTTTTAAAAAAGTTAATAGGCATGAGAAGTGAACAGAGCATCTTACTCTGGCATGCCGGTCCCTACAGGTGAAGACGTTGGGTTCGTAACTATAGTTGGTGCGACAGTGATCGGCGCTGTTGTTGTCGGTGTTGGCGTTGGAACCGACGGCGTCATGGATGCCGGCGTCGCAGAGGAAGATGATGATGGGTAAAGGCAAGAGCCAGTGCCTGTTCCAAGACAAGAATTGGATTAATTGAGGAAAAACATAGGGTCGGGGGTTGAGAAACTATGGCTGTCTTCTCTTACTTGGATTGGAGTTGGTAACCATGGCAGATCCTCCAAAATCGCAGCTTGTAGGAGAAGGATTCTTCTGAAAATAGCTATTGAATGCAAAAGAAGCGTGGTTTTCAAGTGTATTTGGGTTGTAGCAGCTTCCACCTTGCTGGATTTGAGAACAGTCAGCCCCAGTGCCACAGGCGTAGTCCAACGCCGACTGAAGAGCCATCTCAGAAGCGCCGGACCTGACCACACACCAGCTCTGTCCTGGAATTACCGGTGCGTTCGTCATCGCCGGAGGGGACACCGGAACTGGGTTTGTGACGGGTGTTACTACCGGCGAACCACCTGACGGAGCTGGATAAGTGGTCACCGGGTTTGTTATGGGCTGGGCTCCGGGTACTGTAACTGGCGGCGCAACCGGATTGGTGAGCGGCACCGGCGAGTTAGCAGGAACTGTGATGGGTGTCGTTAAGGGAATGGACACCGGCGTGGAAGCAGGACTCGACGGAGTGACAGTGACAGGGTTGGTCGCCGGAACGGTGATGATTGTCGGCGTGGAGGTGTCTGGAGTTGTCGGAAAATTCGTTGTCGGCGAGTTGGTCGCGTCGTGCATTGTTGTCCGAACAAGTTCACTGAACTTCCATTCCAACTCTGCCGAAGCATTTTCTTGCACATCCAAATGCGATCCACCAAATCTACCTGAGATAACGGCAGAAACATTCAGAACGGAAACGAAGAAAAAAGATTCACCCGACACTAAACAACAAAACCCCTTAAATTTTTTGCGAAAACCTGAAACGCCATTTATGGACAAAATGCGAACTTTCGATTCAGAAGCTGAAACTCGCAGGAACCAGGACGGAATCATAGCAGAAAACGAAGAACTGAGCTAGATAGATCTATAACCTGTTCTAGTTCGAGAATAAGAAGTTGCTTACCAGAAGAGCAGATGGCGAGGAGAGACAGAATGGAAAAGAAGAAGCATTTGGAAGCTGTTTGGGCCATTTTAATGGTGAGAGGTTATAGTTCTGGGGACAAATGAAGAGACCCAACTGGATTCTTAATGGGATCGGTTTAATTGAGGCATTGCTTTTAAAAACAACGAAACCAGACAGGAAAAATGGTGTAAAGGGGCTCGCGTCCAAAGTTAAAGAGAGAGAAACGGGGGGAAAGGAAGAAGGTAAAGGTGAAAAAAGCAGAATGCTTACGGCTGCAATATATGAAGGAAATAAAATCAATAAATGAAAAGGGGAAAAAATGGTTACTTTATGAGCAAGAATGATAATATTGGAAACGTTGCCTCTAATGACAAGAGAAAAAGGGGATCAGCCCGTCCATACTTTTTTGCCTTTTCCATCTTTTCTCAAAAGACAAATAACCTCAAAGATAATAAAGTAACATTCAACCATAGCAGCTCCAAGGGAAGAAAGCATGCATGTGCATTTGTACACATGCACCCATGACTGCAACTAAGCCAAGTGATTCCATTCTCTTCCCTTTCCAAGTAATCGCAGCCCTTTTTTTTCTCTCTTTTCTCCATCCTAATTTCTTTTCAAATTGGGAGCAAGATATGCGACTAAAGTTTATCTATTAAATCTAATAAACAATGAGCTAACAACCATTCCAACAAATACAAGATATGCCTTCTCAAATTCTGACTTTAAAGTCTAAAGAACATTAAAGATTGAAGATGTTTGGAAAGATGCAGTGTAGGTGCATAAGAATACAAATGGAGTCAAAGGTGTTCAGCTCAGCAAAACCCTCAAAGCAAATAGTTTATTAGAGGTGGAAAAGAGGGAAATGAGAAAATCAAATCTAAGTGGGAATTGGGCATTGGGATTAGGATGAAATGATGCAGTCTTTAGCCTTTTGAGATTACTTCAGGTACAAGATTTGACAGCCATTATTGGAAGAAAAACGAGACAGAACGGGCAGAACTTGTGAGTTTATGCACAGTGCAGCAAAACAAAGGGAAAAAAATTCAAAAAATGATGCAGACCTTAAGTGAAGTGAGGTTGATGCTGCAAATGCTTTCCCAAAGTGGCTCAAAAAAGGTTTTCAGCTACTTTCCACAAGCATGGCGGTGCTTTTGCTGCGGGTGATGGTGCCATTAAGAATTAGAATATACAATGGGAGTGGGGACAATGCATGTGGAATAACCTATGACGCTTTGGCTCTTCGTATAAATGGATCAAAAGCAACCTGTCTGACTAGACAAAGCCAAAAGCAAACAAGCATTTCAGAGAGAGTGCCCATACTGTCAATCACCTGTTTTATATTTCTCCCTGGGGCTCCCTGCATAAAGCCATACACCCACCGTCTGATTCCCACTTCCAGAATCAAAACATGTTTCAAAACTAAATCACGATAATTCAAATGCACAATAAAGCAACTCAGGAAAGGCATTCAAGATAATCCCTAACAATAGTTCTGAAAACAAAGATGAAAAACTTAGCTTTTCAAAGAAATTCTCCAGCAGTCACTGATTTGATGCCCCCCTTACATGCAAAGTAAATCTATGCGACAGTCCAGAAGCTGCATGTCAATTTCCTGCCCACATACACTGAAAGGAGAAATATCAAAGATAATGTAAAAGAGCAGGGTGCTTTTCCTTGCCCAAAATTGGAAAATAAAGAAACAGAGGAATCGAATTTTGGTTAAAATGTATTGGGCTGTCGTGCCACAACCCTTGAGAGTTGAGCCTATGTCATGCATGCATATGCTTGATTCTAGTAGAAGATAAAACGGTAGTGGTTTGCCAGCACATTTTCAGATGATGTTCTAACGAAGACTGAAATCGATTGGCTCAGAGATCATCATAAAGTAAATGTAATGCAAAACGTGATATTATGCACCCTACTTTTTACTAAAGCAAATTTATCTAAATCATCACCTATCAATCTTCTTTTTCTCTGATAAGTTTGCCTTTAATTTTCCATAATTATAACAACTCAGAGATAAATCATAATGAAAAGAGAAAAGTCACTGTTAAGGAACAAGATAGCCTAACAATTTAAAGTAAAAGAAAGGTTCTTAAGATATACCTGTTGTCATTATAGTTTACATTTGTGTTAATTTAGTCTATAAATTTTTAAACATTACAAATACAAAGATTAATTTACATCCACCGGCAGGGAGCAATATCAGGACTTCATTCTACTTCGTGTTGGAGTCTAAAATCATCCAGCTCTACTCCACACTGCTTGACCAAACAATCAACTCATTGAAAAATGGATCAAAAATTGCTTCTTTTGCTGAGTTATATTTGTCCAGACGTTTCTTGAGTGCCCGCAGTTCCCTTTCATGCTTTGAACTACGCTCCTGGAAAAATATCGACAGCCTTTCAATCAAATTTTTACAGTTAACATTTCAGACAGCAAAAACATTTCCAAAACCACTGTACATATACACCCTTTGGATTTGTGAATCCCCTAGAAGGTAAACATCACAGAAGGAAAAAACAAAAAGGAGAGCAGCCAAGGTATTTATCTTTAGGATTCATGTCAATCTTCAGAATAAGCAACTTCATACTTTAACAAGTTTTGTTTAGATATAGACACAGAATATGCATCCACTTCAGAACTAAACTATCTGAATATGTACGAACCTTCGAAAATAATACAACCAAAAAAATCTAGCTACTTATCTGGGGATTCACAATCATACTCCAGAATAAGAATTATAACTTAACCAAATTCTGTTGATATTCTGCATTAAAATGTACTGAGCACCATTTGAATCTACTCAGTCCTTGAGAAATGAGAAATACATTTTCTTTTAGTAACTTACAACAAATGAAAGTGATTGTTCACAAAAGCTAAATTCAATTCTTTGGGTTCTAAGGAACAATCATGATTGGTTTCCTAATTAGATATAGAAGACTTACGAATGATTTCTTCAGAAGTAATATATGCACAAGGTAGAGTAACCACAGGACGTTCGTTCTAGGAAAGCTGTTGAATACAAAATCAACGGTTTCAGTTATGAGTCACAGACAATTTTCAATGGTGAAAGGTATCAGGTTAGTATGATGGATGGAAAAATGTCTACTACTGAGTACTATACTTGAAAGCCATAAATTATCTTGCTAAATTTCATCGCTTATATTCTAAAATTTTAGATGTATCAACTTTGTGCATGGAGTTTGTGGATTCATATAAAGTAGAATAACAATGGACGCTCTTGCTGAAAGGAGGGAAAAAGAACGAGAATAAGATCTTCCCCTTTACACTTTTACCAAGCAGATAATCCAGCACAAACAGTACCGTCCACATCTTTTTTGGACATTTCTAAAAGGCTAAATATTTTTTAGTCACTCTTTTTTAATCTAATCCCAATCGCTTAAAAAGTTTCAACATAATCCTCTATGCATTATCATTTTTCAATTTAGTCCATGACAATTGATAAATGTTAAAATTTGAGGAGAAAAAGGTAAAGATTTTTATTTCTCCTCTAAATTCCCAAGGAAATAGAAGAAATTTCGATTGTTTTCCTTCTAGATGACTTTTTGTCCTCTAGATTTTTCTTAGTTTGTAAGTTTATAATCAACCAATTTTCATATTCACCAACATTAAAAGAGATTGAATTGAAAAATGTTCAGTCAAAAATTACCTTTTGTCCTTCAACTTTCATCCAAGTAACATTGTAGTCCTTAAAACTTTTTTAATGTTTTATCTTTGTATTTTCATTTGTGTAAGAATTTAGTCTCTAAACTACATGGTGTACAAACTTAGTCCGGTGTACTTTAAAATTTGGAATAATTTAGTCTATATAATAAAAAGTATCGTTAAAATTTAAAATTTCTTAAACTAATTAGGAACCAAATATACTTATAAACTATAAAAAAATATATATATATATTAAATAATTACATTTAATTTTGAGAAATTTTTTACAATAAGGGTTAAATTACAAGGACTAAAATGAATTTTGAGAGTACAAATCCATTGTGAATACAAACAAAAAATCTCTTATTACTCGAGTTCAATAGAATGTTATCCCAGGCTTTTTGTCTTTTAACTGTATAGGAGTTCTTGGAAGTAAAGAGGAAACATGACTGTTGGGCCATCTTGTTTTAAGGCTAAATTGGAAATTATAAAACAGAAATAGATTTTAAAATATCAAATATTAGCCACTAAGCATATATTAGTCTTTCTAAATTTTTAAACAATTAAATCCTGAGGATGCCAAAGGGGAAAAAGATCAAAATCACCTCTAATTGATTCAGATATGATAGAAAGATAAACGCATAAACACTTGTACCTCCCCTCCCAGCAGTCTCCAGTCACCTCCTTCATTTTCCTATATGTTTCTGACTGCATATGAGAACAAAAATAAAAATAAAAATAAAAAAGTAACACTAAAATTTTTAAATAAGTGGATTGATAAGATTTATCTTAATTCTTAAGTAATCAAATTGAATGCTTGCTTACTTGTCTATCTCCTTTTGCACCCTTAAAGAGATCAGGATCCGATGAGAGATCTAAAAAGAGTATGTCTTCACCTGCATGTCAAACATTCATTCAGTTTTGTAACTCCCTTTTTGGTCAGGCAACCAACAAAACTAACTCATAAACAAATTTTAATTAAGGGAATTGTCTCAGTGCAAACTCCATAGATGATAAATTAAAAACCTCTTACCAGTATTGATTCGCGATAGGGTGAAGTCAATGATCGAAATCTGAAGTCCAAATGTTTGTACGGTCATGTTCTTACCCTCAAGGGTGAACTGCATCGCTTCAGAATCATTCCGACTCAAAAGTACATTTCCCCTGGCAATAAATACACGGTCCAAATCAGTAGTCAATGTAAAGAAACTACCAAATTAACTGTGATGGAAGAAGCCGACCAATGCAGATCTCGGTGTTCAAATTCATAAGCAGCTTCAGCCACAGCCAAGGCCGCAGTAACCTGCAGTTCGTCAAAATTTGATTTGGTTAAAGCTTCAAAAGACAATAATGCTAGTAAAATCCATTGCAAACCTGTACTAATAAGCTCTGGGCTTCATCAAAGTTCAGGAGTACAAAGCTTTCAAGATCTTTTCCCCCATGTTGGAGAACAAACACCACATAACACTACAGAACATCAGCAAAAGTCAACCACAGAATAAATTGCATACCCAAGCCTCTAATATCATAATATGACATTTTATTTAAAATAATTTCAAACCATTACTCAAGGAATAGATTGTGAGGTCTTACAAAA